TCTTCTCACTTTTCCCCCTCGGGGCTCGACGCCGATGTGCTTCTGCTGTTTTTTTCCCAACCATCCTGTGATGTTGGGTCCTCGTTTTGAAGAGACGGTGCCCCGCGTTCCTCCTTCCTTCCTTCCCGCTCTCCCCCTCCTCCCTCCTCCCCCTCCCCCTCTCCACCTCCAGCGTTTCGTGGCCCCATAGGGAGCTCCACCGAAGGCCCCAGTGAGGGTGTCCGCATGCGGTTCCCCCACCCAGGGCAGCGTTTCGTGGCCCCATAGGGAGCTCCACCGAAGGCCCCAGTGGGTGTGTCCGCATGCGGTTCCCCCACCCAGGGCAGCGTTTCGCGGCCCCATAGGGAGCTCCACCGAAGGCCCCAGTGGGGGTGTCCGCATGCGGTTCCCCCACCCAGGGCAGCGCTTCGTGGCCCCATAGGGAGCTCCACCGAAGGCCCCAGTGGGGGTGTCCGCATGCGGTTCCCCCACCCAGGGCAGCGCTTCGTGGCCCCATAGGGAGCTCCACCGAAGGCCCCAGTGGGGGTGTTCGCATGCGGTTCCCCCTACCCAGAGGTAGCGCCACCGAACACGATATTCATATTTGCGGTATTCACAACAGCATATGGTTGGGTCCTTCGCCAGGCTAATTCTCCTTCGATGCGTGCAGCCGATCCCTCCCCATGGTCCGCTGCGCCGCCGCCTTGCCCCAGGAGCCCTGGCATCCGCCCGTCTGGCTTTGCCGATCCGCGGCCCCAGAGGTGCCGACCTCTTCCGCGTCTCCAAAGCTTCACCCCAGATCTGTTTTTGATGGCCCTGGGGCTCCGTCCGGCAACGGGCTCCGGTGGCCAACATCGATAACGTGTCTGCCACTCCGATCCGATTCGATCTCTATTGCATGATGCTCCGACGCGGCCCGATGCCTACCCGGCGCCGTGGAGCATCGGGGCGCGGCCGATCCGATCCGACTTCGATGCTGTGCGGGTGCGGCCCGATCGGATGCGCACGTCGATTTGATCGATTTATTCATGGATGGTGATTGCCATCGATTTGATCGATGTGATCGATTTGGCCGATTTGATCCGATGCTGATTGGTCCTGCCGCGGGATGGATGGACGGGTGGACGGATGGAACTTTGAGGGCCGAGTGTCAGAGGAGGAGGAGGAGGAGGAGGAGGAGGAGGAGGAGGAGGTACCGATACCGCGACGTTTCCTCCTTTTCGCCTTTTCCGGCCTCCTGGGAGGCCCTCGTCGTCACGGCTGGATCCGCCTCGAAATTTTGGTCAGAGGTGTCGGTACCTGTTTGCCCCTTCCGGTGAGCCGGCCTGCGACGCGGGCGCCAGCCTGCGGCTGGGACAAGGCAGTCGTCGCCGGCCTGCGTCAAGCGTACCGCAGGCAGGCGTGCATGTCACAGAGCGCGTTCCACTACTCGCAGAGTGCCTACCCGCAAACGTCCGAAACAAGATGCCTTCTTTAGAGTTTAAGGCATGGTGAATCCCCCGCGGTGGGTCCAGGCCAGTTGCGAGTCGTGGAACGCGCCTGTCCAGTGTGGTGCGTTCCAGGTAAGGTCTCCACCTTCATCACCGAGCGCGTTCCACTAATTTCGTGCAAAGTGCCTACTCGCAAACGTCACAAAAGCACATGTATCTTTTTATGTAATGTATCGTAGATCCCCCGCGGGGGATCCAGGCCATTTGCGAGTAGTCACTCTGCGAGTAGTGGAAGGCGCCTGTCCAGTATGGGGCTATCCAGGCATGGTCTCCACCTTCCATCACCGAGCGCGTTCCACTACTTGCAAAGTGCCCACTCGCAAGCGTCAGAGAAAAAAACACATGTCTGTTTTGTGATGTCAATTCTCGTGGATCCCCCGCGGGGGACCCAGGCCATTGGTGAGCAGTTACTTTGCGAGGTTAGCGGAACGCGTTCGTCTACAGTCGGGGCCTTGAAGAAGAAGGAACCCTTTTCGTTGGGGAAGGGCTCCGTGTTCCTTGATTGCTTCGCAGTTTGCCTTAGGTTTTCCTTAGGTTTTCGATACGAAATCGAAGTTTAACTCATGGAAAATAGGGGCCTCGTTCCTTATTTGGGGTTCCTTAGGTCAACGCCCCGACTGTACTCCAGGGGCCCCAGGAGATGGCATCTCTCCGTCGGCGGAGGCCCGGCGGCAGGCCTGGCGGCAGGCCCGGCGGCAGGCCCGGCGGGCAAAGAACCGGGGGCGGCTCCGCCTGCGGCAGGCCCGGCGGGAGGCCCGGCGGGAGCAGGACTCAATCGGCCCTCCAAGGAGGCCCTCCTCCTCCTCCTCCTCCTCCTGCTCCTCCTCCTCCTCCTCCCCCTCTCCTCCTCCTCCTCCTCCTCTCCTCCTCCTCTTCCTCCTCCTCCTCCTCCTCCTCCTCCTCCTCCTCCCTCCTCCTCCTCCTCCCCTCCCCTCCCCCTCCCCCTCCACCTCCCCCATCCCCATCCCCCTCCCCCTCCCCCATCCCCCTGCGGTTCGGCCTCGGGTGCCGGAGTTGCGTTCGGGGCGCTCGTGGAGGAGAGTGCCCAGGACGCTGCAGGCCCCAGAGGGCTCCTCACTTCTGGACGCCCGAAATGGGTACGGACAGAATGGGTACAATGCCCAACAGCAGTTCCTGTTCATTTGGAACAGGATTCGCTGTCTACGCCGCCGCGGCCTGTGCCCATTCGAGACAGAAGGCCGCCTGCCCAACAGCGGCCGCTGTTAGTTTGGGACAACATGTGCTGTTGGGCATTGCACCAATTTTTTAAGTACTCATTTCGGGCGTCCAAATCACTGGATGAGGGCGGCGGTGATGCCCGTGGCCGTGCCTCATGCCTTCGCGCCGCGCGTATCCCTACCAGCCCATTCGGAAACAGCGCCCATGAGAGTGACGTGACATGGGGCGAAGAGACACGCGTAGTGAAACGAAGCAGGCAGCTTTGGTGAAGAGAGATCTTTGGGCGCAAGGGGGTGGCCTTGGAGGGCCCTTGGGGCCCGCGTGGGTGCGAGGGAAGGAGACGGGTGAGGAGGAGTAGGAGGAGGAGGAGGACGAGGAGGAGGAAGACGACGACGACGACGACGACGAAGAGGAAGAGGAGGGAAAGGAAAAGGAAGACGAGGGCATGGACGAGAACAAGGAAGAGGAGGGGGAGGAGAAGGAGGAGGAAGAGGAGGAGGAGAATAACGAGGACGAGGACAGAGTCATCAAAATCGCCTCTGGGAGCCCTCTTGGAACTCTTTTGAGGTAATTGGTGCCCTCTCAAGGCTCTTTTGGAGGGTCTTGGACCGCTCTTGGGGCCCTCTTGGGGGTCCCTTGGGAGCCCTGGAGGGCCGCTTGATGCCATCTTGGAGGCCATCGATCAAAAGGTGGGGGGTCCTAAATGTAGCCCCCACCCCACCCCCCTCGTCTGGGCCTATCACACTCGCCTCTTGGGGCCCTCTTGGGACGCTCTTGGGCCGCTTTTCGGCGCTCGACGGTCGCCTGGGGGGCCTCTTGGGCCATCAGGTCTCAAAAGCGCATTGGAAGCGACAAGGCGAGAAGTCAAAATCCTGTTTTGTTTTCTTCGAGGTGTTTGAAGGATTTGTGCCTCTTGGGAGGTCCTCAGGGGGCTCCGAGGGTACTTGGAACCGTCTTCTGGCCCTAGTCGGGCCTCTCGAAGGTATGTCGGAAGCTGTCCTGAATCGCGCGCACCGAGAAATCTTATAGTATACGTGTCGTGGCGGGCGCCTTCTGGCCACGCCGCTCAAGAACAACATACTACAAGATGGGTATACTATATGTTCGGGTCGGACAGGGGCCTCCAATCAGGACAGATCGTATTAGTACGTCTCTGCGCGTCCCGAGGGACCTCACATCGACGGCGAGCCGTGGGGGCCGGTGGGAAGGAAGAGGCCTCAGAAGGCGGCGGGACCTCGTAGAAGCCCTCCTGCCTTCTGAGAAGTGCCCTGCGTCCTCGGGAAAGGCGATAAAGCTTCTCAAAAGGCCGGGGGGCTTCAGATCCTTCCTCGTCGGAGGCCCGCCCCCTCTCACTTTCTCCCGGGACGGTCGCCAATCACAAGCTCGGGGACGCTTGTACGTCTGCTGCTCCAAGAGTTTGCATTGTGGGCATGGTTGCGCGTGCACGACGAAGAGTGCCTTACATCAATGGGTCATTCGCGGCGGTCCGGAGCCTTCTCGGCTCAAGCTAATGCGGCTTTGGCTTGGGGGCGTAGTGTCAGTTCAATTTGATTTTCCTCGTCGCAAACGTCTGGCGTGTTGGCTCAGTTTCGCCTCGCGTTTGATTCGTCGTAAGTGTTCAATAGATGTCGGCATCAGTGGCTGAACATTGTGATGCGTTGCGAACCCTGTCCAAGGAATTAGGTGATCGAGTTTCCTTGTTCCTGCAAGATCATGCGCAGAAGCCCAAGGACCCAACATTTGATGACTTGTTGTCGCGTATGCGTTGGCCTCGCGGAAAGAGCGTTTTGCTGGTTCGGCCAGAGAGCGTTTCTGATGTTTCTCAGTGTGTGTCATGCGCATCGTGTTCGTCAGTGAGTGTGTCTGTTGTCGGGGGAGGACATTCTAACTACTGCCTTGGTGGAGACATCGTGATAGATTTGAGCAGGTTCAACGCAGTGGAAGTCAATACCAGCGATGGTACCGTGGCAGCCGGTGGAGGAGTTACCTTGCAACAAATAGTAGAGACAGCTTCAAAGAGTTCCCTCATGGTTCCACTGGGCACAGCGCCGACAGTCGGAGTAGGCCTTATTTTGCAGGGTGGTATTGGTCACCTCACTCGGCAGTGTGGGCTCGCACTTGACGCGGTAGTGAGTGCAGAGGTGGTGGTAGCTGACGGCCGCTTCTTGACTGTAAGCAGAGAGCAACATTCGGATTTGTTCTGGGCGTTGCGGGGATGTGGCCCCAATTTTGGAGTTGTATTGCAGGTTACGCTGTCGGCGTATCCTATGCGCAAGTGCAGCCTGGAGTTCTGGATGCAGCGTGGTGCGGACGCGTGCGATGGTGCACCGTTGAAACCCCTGCTCCTCTCTTATGCCGAGCGGGCAGCTGCACTGCCGAGGCTTGCTAGTTCAGATTGCGCCATCTATCATGATGAGCACGGTGGTGCCTGTCTGGGGGTATTCGATTACAAGTTCGGTGGTGTGCAAGATCAGAGCTGTCAGCGGCCGTCGAGAGTGCATGCTGACGTTGACAGCATACAGAGATGCGTTTTGGATGGTTCCTGCTCAGACCATCTTCAAGCCCATGAAGTGGAGCCTCAGGACATGTTCAAGTATGAGCCATACTTGCGCGAGAAACCGCATGGCTGTTTACCGAGACCTGGCCCTGAGGGCCTTGGCTTTTTCGTTCGTGCAGTCCTATGGCCCGCGCCTATGACAGAAGCCATGGTAGACACATTGATTGATTGCTTCAGCAAGGTACCCAACAGGCACTGCTATGTGCATTTTCAACACTGTGGCGGTGCCATCACAGATACACCTCACGATGGCACAGCATGGGCGCATCGGCAGTGCGAATGGTCCGTTGTTATCAGCGGTTGTTGGCCTTTGCCGGATGCCGATCATTCAGAAGGTCTGTGTAAAAGGTGGGTTCTGGACACGGCCTGCGCATCGTCATCCCATTTGCTGGGCACGGGCACCTATAGTACGGACCTGGGGCCTGACGACTCACAGCTTGCTGAACGTGCTTACCACCGCAACACGTCGAGATTGGTCGCGTTAAAGCGAGAATGGGACCATAGAAACATTTTCGGTTGCGGCTTTCCACTCTGGTCTCTAGACTCGGAGGCGAGCGAGGGGGCAAGTGCGAAGGAAGAGGCCTTTACAGAAGGCGGCGGGAATTCTCAGAAGCCTTCTCGCGCCTTCTGCGAGGCTTAGAGCACTTCTGAGAAGGCCCGGGGACCTCCGAGCCCTCTGAGAAGGCCCGCCCTTATCACTTCCCCCCCAGACCCGCCACCGGTAGACAAGGCAGGCTGATCTCTGGTTGAAGGGCGTCGAACGAAAAAAATACAGTTCGCGGGGAGGCAGTCGGAGAACGCTTGCCGCCGTGTTGCTCCCTCTGTGCAGGCAGCTTTCTCAGGGTCATCCTGACCACACGCATGGTTCTTCAGCAGTTGTCCTTTTTCCCTATCACGCTTCTTATGGGTCTGCATGGCACCTCGCAGTTGCGAGTGAGAGTGAGGGGGCGGGCTCGGGGTGTGGCGCGGATGTGCCGCGGGTGGGTCGCTGGGGGTAGCGGGAGAGGACGACGACAACACCAACAACGCAACAACAACAATCCGCATCGCGGACCCCCACCTCGGCCACGCGCCCAGGGACAGTGAGTGACCGTTTGGCCCCTTCATTCTGACATTGTAATCTGGTAGATCACCTGGATATCGCTCTAGCTTTGAACTGAGTTCTGCTTAGTAAGGCCGACAGTGAATGCGTTCCCCGCTCGTCCTTTCCTTTTATATCCTTAGCTCTTTGGGCTCAAGGCTCTGAGCGTGCCTCCGGCTGTCAAGGCTGGTGCCTTCTAAGAAGCAGCCTCTTTTCAAGCAGCCTTCTCCTCCCCCTATCCTGTGTGCGCGCCGCCAATCGTCGTCGCCGCCGCCGCCGCCGTCGTCGTCGTCGTCGTCGTCGTCGTCGTCGTCGTCGTCGTCGTCGTCGTCGTCGTCGTCGTCGTCGTCGTCGACGTGGCCGACCGAGGCCCGGCGGCGAGGCGCCTGCGCTGAGCGCGTTCCGGGCGCCGGGGGCCCGCGGGGGGGGGGGGGGGGGGGGGGGGCGCGCGGGCGGCCCCTCGGCGCCGCGCGGGCGGCCCGAGCCCTCAGCACCCGGGGGGGCGTGGGCGGAGGGTGTCTCCGAAGGGCTCAGGCGACCCGTCCTCCTCCTCATCGTTCTCCTCCTCCTCCTCCTCCTCCTCCTCGTTCTCCTCCTCCTCCTCCTTCTCCTCCACCTCCTCCTCCCCCTCCCCCTCATCCACCTCCTCCTTCTCCTCCTCGGGTCGCCTACGGCCCCAGGGGAAACCGTGCAGGCGTTGTTTGAGGAATGGAATAAGCAGGGTATAGCCAGGACCCCAGGTAAGGGTTCCCGATTAGTAGTAAGGCCCCGGAGCCCTTACATTGGCCAGGATCACTACACCATGTCTGCCGCAGCTGGTGCTTTCTCGGGTGACGGCAGTTCCGATTCGTGGCACGGGGCGGGGGGGGGCCCCCGTACACATCATTAGACCATGTCCCGCTAAGCCCAGTTCTGCCAACGCCCAGATGTGCCCAGACCCCCGGGGGCCCCGAACGAGGTGGTGACCACACCGTGTGGTGAGTCGGCGGGGATTCGGGGTCGCAGCACGGTTTTGGGACTCGGGTCGTTCTCCGAGGACGTCTCGGGCGACTGGGGGCATCCGAGGTCCCAAAGCCGTGCGCTGGCGGACCGTGCGACGAGGCCTTGGGGGATGCGCCGGGGTGTGGTTTGCGATCGGCACCGTAGGGGCCTGGGGGGCACGGCACTGTCCTCGTCGGGCCTCCTCGGGGCGCGGGAGAACTCGAATTATCGAGGTCCCCGCGCGCCCGGCAGGGTGCCCCCCAGGATGTTCCCCAGGGTGCTGGTTGCAAACCACTCCCTGTGGAGTCGCCGACTTGAGACGGGGGTCCATGCAGACGGGGGTCCGCCAGAGCGCCGGATCTTGCAGGATCCTGCAGGGGCAGGGTCGCACTGACCCGGGCTTGGGTGCAGGATCCTGCAGGATCCTCCGCGCATCGACTTGGGCTCAGGTGCAGGATCTTGCAGGCTCCTGCAGGATCCTGCCAGGCCTCACGGACCCGGGTCCGGAGTTTGACTTGAGGACCGGACGCTGCCCGGCCGCAGACGGCGAAGCGCCGCCCCCGCCGGGGTTTGTTGTCGCAGCGCGAGGGTGTCTGGGCCCCCTCGCAGGGCCCCCCCTCGAGCGCTTCGACTCGCCTCGCCTCGATCTTCGCGGGCTTCGCGCGCACCCCTCCGAGGAGGACATCTATAGTATGAGTATGTCTCTGTGCGTCCCATCGGGAGCCCCCGGCGCCTCCTGAGAGGTGCTCCGCCGGGAGCCTGGAGACGGGGGTCAATGCAGACGGGGGTCAGCCAGGGCACCAGATCCTGCAGGATCCCGCGAAGACCCCCTCGTGGCTGACCCAGGTCCGCGAGCCCCTCGTGGACGCGGGGCGGCCGCGCCTCGTGGCCGACCCGGGCTTGCGAGGACCTGCGCTGCAGTTTTTGTTTTTTGCTCCTGCAATGCAGTTTTTGGCTTCCTCCTCCTCCTGCTCCTCCTCCTCCTCCTCCTCCTCCTGCTCCTCCTCCTCCTCCTCCTCCTCCTTCTCCTCCTCCTCCTCCTCCTCCTCCTCCTCTGCTGACCCTGGTCTGGATTGGCCGGGGCCAGAAGATCCCCGCCTCCGCGTCCTCGGGGAAGGCTCACACACCACTTCTCGGGAGACTCGGGGGGCTCCTGAGCCTCCTGGGAGCAGGCCCGCCCTCGTCCCTTCCCCCCCCCCCCCTGGGCTCGCCGCTGGCGTGTGCGCGGACCCCCTCGCGTCGTGAGAACAATCGCGGCAGGAGGTGTTTCAATATTCTCGGCCTTTGGGTTAAGTCGGGCCTGTCCCTCTACAGGAGGATTATGACAAGGTAACAAAAAGCTGGTGGGGGCCGAATTTTTTGAATACCATTTTTGAATATTGTAAGGTTATTTTTCGACCATTGTCAGATTTTTCCCTGAAGGTCCCCCTGTAGGGGGGCAGGCCCGACCTAACCTCTGGGCGTCCTCGCTGGGCCTCGGGAGCGTCAGGGAACGGCTCGGGGTGAAGCACCGGTCCCCGGGGAATGGGTCGGTGCTCTCGGGGCCGACGTTCGAGTCGTGAAGAAGTCGCGGCGGGAGGTTTTTCAAGATTCTCGGCCTCTGGCTGCCCTCGCTGAGCCTCGGGAGCGTCAAGGAACGACTCGGGGCGGAAGACCAGTCCCCGGGGCATGGGTTGAGGCGCTCGGGGCCGACGCTGCACGAAAAATCAGGACGCCGGGGGCCTGGGCGCCCAGGGGGCTCCAGACACCGGAGGAGTCTCGAGGGGTATCGAACAGCACGAACCTGAACTTTCGACGCTCCGTGCGAAGAAGTCGAGCATTGTATGCTTCTGCCGTTGCTGGCTCTGTGCTAGATCTCTTTGTCCGATGAGTGCGGGGGTGCGTGGTGATGTCCCAGGCCAGCCACGACTGGAGTTCCACCAGCTTCCAGACCCGGGGTTCCTTCTCCAAAGGTTCCTTGCCCAATGCCCTCGCTGTATCTCGGGCCTCGGCCAAATATTTAATCGCTTCGCTCATTCCGCCGGCCCTCGAGCGCTCTATGGGGCCTCTTTGAAGCCTCTTGGGGGCCTCTTTGGGGCCTCCTAGGGGCCTCTTGGGGGCCTCTTGGGGCTCCTCGGCGGCGTCTTGGGCTCCCCCGGGGCCTCTTGGGGGGCTCTTGGGGGCCCCTTGGGGCAGGAGGGGGGGTAGTCGATTGCAGCCAATCCATCGGAGGCCACGATTCTCGTGAGGGGTGGCGAAAAATAGCCTCCCCCCTGGGGCTCGCCCGGGGGTCAGCCGGGGATCGGCCCGGAGGTCTTAGCACGCCGGCGTGCTAAGATCTCCAGTGGACCGGCGAATTCTGAACCGCCGCCGCCCCCTGCCCTGCGCTTCTTCTGCGCGCCGCCGAGAACGCCTCAGCCTTCCTCGCCCCTCCTGCTCCAACCGCTCGGGGTGGCCGCCTCCTCGTCGCTGCGAATCCTTCCCCACGGGCCTCGTTGGCCGTCTGGAGGCCAGCGTGAGCGTTTTGGATCGATCTTTCGGCGGCTCGTGGGCCCTCTTGGACCGGCCGGAGGGCCTCTTGGGGCCCTCTTGGCCTGTTTTGGGGCACTCTGTCCCCCCGTGATGCGTTCGAGCGTTCCCCGGGACCCCTCCCCTCCAAATCGACTGGATGGGGCTCCCGGGGGAGCGGGTTGGGGAAAGAGAGGCATCTCACGCGCCGGTGAACCTCAAGGGGTCGGCAGATTTCATGGCGCCTCTTCTCGTGTCAATACGTCCCCGACCCCCCTTCTGGGTCGCGCACGTGCCGCGTGCCATGATTTGCGCACCCCCTCTCTTGGACGCCGCCCTCTTTGGACTCCCCCGAGACATTGTGGTTGGCAGCCAGGTGCCCCCAACAAGCCCCGCAGCGGCCACAAGCCGTGCCCGAGAGGGGCCTCTGGAGGCCTTCCTCGGCAGCTCCTGGTAAGGTTTTTTTTGGTGGGTCACGCAAGCGGCCCTCCAAGGAGGAGGCTCCTGCAGGACAAGTGGAAAGGAGTATGGGGAAGGATTCGCAGGGACGCGCGAGGAGCAGGCGGGGAATCATATTTTTATCTGTATATA